GTTTTACAATTCAATTTATGCAGATAATTAAAGAAATTCAAAGTTCATTGCATGTTAATTGTTGTACAGAGTGTTTTTTTTTTTATCAAGATATTGTTGATGAAGTCAAAACTGAAGCAAAAGTACTAAATTTGGAGCAACTGGCAAAGATGTGCTACTGGTTTTCATAGTGATTAGATTATTGTTACGTTCTCTATTACAGTAACTGAAACATTTTTATTCATATACAATTGGCTTGGTATCATGATCAACAATACTTACACTATAGGCACCAAAACAACCTTAGCTAAATGAAGCCGTTTTGGTGTATAAATCATGCCTCTGCAGTCTCACTGCTCAATTATGTATCATTTAGAAGTCAAATCACATTGTTTATACAGCTCCAGTCACAACTCCCTGCATGTGACTTGCAGAGCCTTCCTAAACACTTCCTGCAAAGAGACAAGAGATTCTGCAGCGCTTTACAATATTATGAGAGGGGGGATTTAACTATAAATAGGACAATTACAAGAAAACTTACAGGAACGATAGGTTGAAAAAGGACCCTGCTCAAATGAGCTTACAGTCTATAGGAGGTGGGTTGTAAAACACATTACGACAGGAAATAGCAATCAAATAAGGTGGGAGTGAAGCAGAGCTGGAGGAGAGAGTAAAGTGCTGCCCTTTATGAGAGATAAAGAGACAGGTATGTAAGGTAGAGGTTACTCTGCGAGGCCATAAGCTTTCCTAAAGAGATGGGTTTTAAAAGATGAAAGACTTTCTTAAAAGATGAAAGACTTGGGAAGAGTCTGATGGCGGTAGGCAGGCTATTCCATAGGAAGGGAGCCACCTGCGAGAAGTCCTGCCTGCGCGAGTAGATCGTACGGGTGCGAGCAGCGGACAGGAGAAGGTCACGGGCAGAGCGGGGAGACCGAGAATGGGCATACCTATGGGTCTGTGAAGAGATAAGAGGGGCCAGAATTGTTCAGTGCTTTATAGGTATGGGTTTGCACTTTGAATTGACTCCAATAGGATACAGGAAGCCAATGTAAGGACTGACAGAGGGGTGAGGTGTGAGATGACCAACTAGAGAGGAAAATCAGTCTGGCGACAGCATTCATTACAGACTCTAGAAGGGCAATACGGCTTTTTGGGAAGACCAATTAGGAGAGGGTTAAAATAATCCATGCAGGAAATTAATAGAGCATGGACAACATAGAAACATAGAATGTGACGGCAGATAAGAACCATTCGGCCCATCTAGTCTGCCCAATTTTCTAAATACTTTCATTCCCTGGCCTTATCTTATAGTTAGGATAGCCTTATGCCTATCCCACGCATGCTTAAACTCCTTTACTGTGTTAACCTCTACCACTTCAGCTGGAAGGCTATTCCATGCATCCACTAGCCTCTCAGTAAAGTAATACTTCCTGATATTATTTTTAAACCTTTGTTCCTCTAATTTAAGACTATGTGCTCTTGTTGTGGTAGTTTTTCTTCTTTTAAATATAGTCTCCTCCTTTACTGTGTTGATTCCCTTAATGTATTTAAATGTTTCTATCATATCCCCCCTGATCGTCTTTCCTCCAAACTATACATGTTAAGATCCTTTAACCTTTCCTGGTAAGTTTTATCCCACAATCCATGAACCAGTTTAGTAGCCCTTCTCTGAACCCTCTCTAAGGTATCAATATCCTTCTGAAGATACAGTTTCTAGTACTGTGTACAATACTCCAAGTGAGGTCTCACCAGTGTTCTGTGCAATGGCATGAGCACTTCCCTCTTTCTACTGATAATACCTCAGCCTATACAACCAGGCATTCTGCTAGCATTTCCTGCTGCTCCATTACATTGTCTGCCTACCTTTAAGTCATCAGAAATAATAACCCCTAAATCCCTTTCCTCATATGTTGAGGTTAGGACTCTGTCAAATATTATGTACTCTGCCCTTGGGTTTTTACGTCCAAGATGCATTATATTGCACTTATCCACATTAAATGTCAGTTGCCACAATTCTGACCATTTTTCTAGTTTACCTAAATCATTTGCCATTTGGCTTATCCCTCCAGGAACATCAACCCTGTTACATATCTTAGTATCATCAGCAAAAAGACATACCTTACCATCAAGACCTTCTGCAATATCACTAATAAAAATATTAAAGAGAATGGGTCCAAGTACAGATCCCTGAGGTACCCCACTGGTGACAAGTCCAAGCTTCGAATATATTCCATTAACTACAACCCTCTGTTGCCTGTCACTCAGCCACTGCCTTACCCATTCAACAATATTGGAATCCAAACTTAAAGATTGCAGTTTATTGATAAGCCTTCTATGTGCAAGCAATGTCTACTGCACCACCCTGAGCTATAATTTTAGTTACCCAATCAAAAAAATCAATAAGATTAGTTTGGCATGATCTCCCTGAAGTAAACCAACCTCCTTGGTAGCGTCTTGTGTAAGAAAGGGGCGGAAGCGGGCAAAGTTTTTAAGATGGAATCTACAGAATTTGGCTACAGGATTTTAGCTTGTTGATTTAGTATGCCACAGTTGGGGCGTGTCCTCCTCGAGGTGCATGTTTGGAGCGAGCCTGCCTTCCATTATTGTACATTCTATTTAATTTAGAATGTCTTATATACTGCCTGTTAAAAGCCTTCCTGACCCTGCAGGAAACTCCTGTGTATGGTTAAAGTTACATTTACAGAGCAGGAGGTAAAATGTGTAAAGCAAGTTCACATCTGATTAAAAATGAAACAATTTTTGTTAATACAGGCTCTGTGAGGCACTCAGAGGCACTCAGAAATAGCAAACAAATGAGCAGTGAGACTGCAGGGGCATCATATTTATATATGCAAACTGCTCCATTAAGCTAAAGTTGTTTTGAGGCCTTTAGTGTACCTTAATTCTTAATCAATATGCTAAATCTGCTCTTTAATCCATGCAGAACTGAGTTAAACATAGCCAACAGATCGGACTCCACGTTATCTGAGCTACATCTTAGTGTTGGCAGAGCTAAAAGAAGATGATGTAACGTCTGGGGATTTATGCCAGCAGTGTTACTCAATATGACTTTGATTAAAAGGGCACATGATATAGACAAGGGGTAGGCAACCTTCATCACTACAGCAGTTGTGGACTATATTGTCCCTGATGCTTTACCAACAGGATGGCTGTAAGAGCATTATAGGAGATGTAGTCCACAACATCTGGAGTGCCGAAGGTGGCCTAACCCTGATATAGGCAATTCATTTTTTAAGATAATGTATTTCTTTGCAATATATCCGAATTGTCTACGTATCGTGCATTTAGTGCCCTTTTAATCAAGGTCATCTTGAGAAACACTTTTGATAAATATTGCAAGGCAATAGCTTACTAGTTATCTCTTTAAATGAGTTCAGGATGTGGGGAAAAAAAGCTTTTATATCAAAGAGGAAACAACATTATTTTTTATCCAAAGAGATTAACATTTACTCTCACAATTTGTTTATTTTTGTTCTTTCTTAAATGGTATTCTTTATTGTATGCAGTGTTTATTTTTGTAACCCTTTTGATAAAACAGTTAATTCTGATAATTAAGTTGAGCTTCTGAAAAATAAATAAATACTTATCTAGAAAATGAACATTAAGGTCATGTAAGGGCCACTAAAACAAGACAGAAAAGGAAGAATAACATAAAAACAATGGCTTAACCACATATCTCCTAACTCCAGTGTCCAGAGAATAGGGTTGCCGGTGGGATAAAGGTAAAGAGAGACAAACCAGTGACACAAATGGGCAGACAAGTCCAGAAAGGGGACGTGTCCATTCAAATTACTGACAGGTCTACCTGGTGTGACTGCACAACATGCTGCCTTTGCATCATTTCAGCCGCCCACTGAAGGCAGACCCTGCAGAGTCCTAGTACCCTGTACATAATGCAGGAGTGTCTAATGATGTGCTTGAGCTATGCTTGTCGGCGATAGGCCCCTGGCGTTTTCAAACATTGGAAACAAGGGAACATAATTGGGACAGGATCCAAAATTCGTGACTGTCCTGCCAAAATTGGGACCGTTGGGGGACCTATAACCAGTAAGCAGAAAAATCAAATATCATTGTCTGCTATTACTGCAACAGTTTTAGAGGTTCATTTTCTAAAATCTGTAATTTAATTACAAATTCCCTACACCTCACCTGATTGGTGTTGGCAGCTTCATAAAGAGAAGAATAGGGAAACTCTTAAAATTAGAAATACAAACATATAGTTTTAATGTGCTAGTTTCTTCCTGCTGATTTAGATTTAGGATCGTTCCCTGCAAGTCTAAAATAAAGAGGTTTTACTAACGGTTTATCCTTAGCCATGCTGGTCTCGCCATGGCCGCTGCTCCTCCCTTCATTGAGATCATCATTAATGATGATCTCAGCTGATCCAATGCTTCACTGCTGAACAGGAGGTGAAATATGTTTGTTAGAGCTTAACGTTTTCCAAGCTGATTACAATGTATCACCACACTGTTCACTGATATTAAGGTTCTTTATCTGGTTTTAGTCATGTGTACATGTGCCCAGACTTGTTTCAAAACATTGCACTGTAGGGGTTTTAATAAATATTGTGCATAGTGAACTATGGTGAATTCACAATCACATTACAAAGTTAACTAAAAGGAAAAATATCAGAATATGAGAACTTTTCAAACAGGGTCTAAATTCTGCATTATGGTTGATTATATTTATTATCTGTTATGTGTGAAATTTACATATATTGTATATTGTATTATTTTTTTGTAATATTATATTTTGCCCTATTGTAACAATGCAGTGTTTGCAGGCGCAGGGCATACTTGAAAACGAAAGAAATCTCAATGTATCCTTCCTGGTAAAATATTTTATAAATAAATAATTTTGGTTGTCAATCTGTTTCTCACTGTTTAGTGATTAAACTCTTTAACAATACTCAAAGCTGTGCAGGTGATAAGACTATAAACACAAGTCTGCATTACAAAGCAGATATAACTGGCCTCTTTACTTTGTCAGTAACCAATGTCTTAGTTGTTGATTTAAATACTCCTCATGGCTTTATTTTTCAGTTAATTTAGTTGTTTATTAACACTAATGGAAACAAGAGATTGTAATATGAGATATGGTGTTTTGTTTGAAACTTAAACCTCAGTTCCCAACCAATTCCAAAAATGTTGTGGTTTTCATTGGCAAGGACCTGCAGCTATTAAGGACTGACAATGAGCCTTATTTAAACTCAATTCTGTAATCCTGAATCGCGGCTATTTATAGATTGATTTCAGATGAAACAAGCTAATACTTATTTGATTATATATATGTGCAACGTATTATCTATCCGTAGCGTTAGAATGATTAGATTGGATCAGACCTCAGAAAGGAGGGCCCGATACCAACAACATTACCCAAAATAAGAAGTAATATTCAACAAAAGCTAAAAGAGCAAAATACAATGTATAAGGTACCAGAAAAATAAGAAATAGTAAAACACTAACTTTATTAGGTTCCAAAAATAACAGTGAAAAAAAATGAAAAATAGTGAATTGTGCAAATTACAATGGTTAAAATAGGTAGCTGGGATTCACTTATAAGAGTTCACGTGATATGGATATAAGGTTGCTATATTAGTTACAATGTTGTAATGTAGTCACATTTGCAACAGAGAAGCTTAATGTATAGCTTCTAGTGGTTAGTATCTGTAGCTTTACTTACCTGGTTTTCGATCCAGCTGGGGTCCTCTGTTCGGGCCCGTGAAGTAATGCCACTTACATTCACGCAGTCCGCCCCTTAAAGGGGTAATCGCACCTCGCAGTCCGAGCGCCTTTTTAATAGGGAAATGGCAGCACCTGAACCCTAATTGGTCCATGTCAGTCTCACTCTTATTCACATACGTTGAGGTCACAGGCATGACGTCAACCAATCACTAAGTGCCACTAATATTTAAACCCATCTGACCCTATTTGCTTTGCCCACTGTTCCCAGTACCCTTTAGTGCATTCCTTGATTCCTTGTGTAATATTCTGGTATTGGCTTTGATACTGACCCTGCGTTTATCTTTAACCCTTTCCTGTGTTTGCCTGTTTTACTGATTACCATGTACCTGACATTAGCTAGTTCTCATTTTCGTTGTTTCTCTGTACCTCAACCTCAACTTTTGTCTTGACTACACTTTTATCTCTGTCTAACATTAAGTCTGACCATTCTAAGGCCCGGTAAAATGGTATTTCCTTGTTTTGTCCCTTGCTATCCTAAACTCTGCGTGTTGGGGTTTTACCTCATGACACTTTCAGCTATTTGTCTGTTTGTCTGACATTCAGTCTTTCTTACACTTAAATCTTTATATAAAACTTCCAACTAATTGTGGCCTGGATTGGCATATTCACACAGTTTACCTCTATTTAAAAAGGATTGATTAACAGGAGAGATGGAGAGGCTATGTCTTTATATATGTCAGGCAATCTATATATTTAATACCAATTCTGTTAGCTTTTGAATAGATTAAATTTTTTTAGACTTAATTTTATATACATAAATATACTTTTATCTACATACATACAAGTAAAACGTCCTTATTAAAGGTATGCACACACCATCTGAACTACATCTGAAATGCAAAACAACTTGATTGATGATGAGGACAGCCAGGTCGAGATATAGTCAGGGCCAGCGCGACCACTAGGCTAACTAGGCAGCCGCCTAGGGCACACCGGCCGTGGGAGGCGCAGTTTACTGGTGACCCACAGGAGGGGAAAGCACCGACTGTACAGGGCTCCCCTCCTGCCCAGCGTAACATATTTATCCTCACCTTGTGCCACTCAGCAGCTATGCGCCAGTATACCTGACTCCTGTAACATGTTGATGGACGCTGGCCGCTGCGGATCCACGCCATTTTATAGCCCCACGTCTGCCCATGGCAATGACGATGTGAATATGCGTGTGACACCACACAAAAGACGCACACGCACGTTCTTGGGTCAAAGGCCAGTTGCGGCCAATCGGATCAATGGGAGGCTTATTTAAACTAATTTTTATGTCTTCTCGTTGCCCTGTTGTGGTTTCCCTTAGTAGGTTAACCGAGAGTGTGTTCCTGAGTGTTTATTTCTGGTTATTGACTTTGGCTTCGTTTCTGACTTCCCTGTATTCTGGTATCCTTGACTTTTGGCTTTTCTTCATCTATGTGTCTAATTCTGTGTCCCTGACCTCGGCAAGTATTCTGACTATTCTCTGGTACATTAAGTCCAGCCATTCTAAGGCCCGGTAAGATGTTACCTTTAGTCCTAGGTGCAGTATAATTCTGCGTGCTGGATCTACTAGTAATCCCGTCACACAGACCCATCTTTACCACAGTGCAAGCTGTTCCTTGCGCCCCTTGCAGAGATGGGAACAAAGAGGTTCTGCAGCAGCTGGACATCCTGCAATCATTACATTAACCAGCTGTTCCCCATGCAGCCACAGGTGACGCTGTGCTGGGAGAATGTGATTACTCTTCACAGAGCATGGGAGAGAGGAGGAGGATGCTCAGAGAAGGCACTTGTCACCATACAGAATATTCAGTAAGTATGTCTGTTTACAGCCTGGGGGATCAGCTCTGTTTTCAACAGCTTCTGCTAGCTATACCTTTACACTTTATTGGGTTTTACTCTGTGTGGCTTCTCTATTAATTTTGAGAATTGTTTAATAAGTAACATCTGTACCCATATTCTTTCACTTTCACCATTCCTTTCTCTCTGTTCCAACTCCTTCACTAGATCCCCCTTCTCTCTGCTTCTTCCATTTTTATACACTTCTCACATACTCTAACCTTTCTCCCATCCAATATATCAGTCCCCTTCTCCTCCACCACATCACTAATTCACCCTGAATATATTAGTATAAAATGTCCACATCAATCTCATCTGCCCTATCTCCTCCTAGTATGTAGAAAAAAATATTTCCTTTAGACATCCTTTTAAATGGCTAGAAGATTTAATGTTTGTTTGTGGAGACTGGCTGCAGCAGGTAAGGCAGCCTGGAGCAGAAGCCATCAAAACCAGTTGACTGATGGTGGCTGAATACTGGGCAATGTGGGTACAGGATTCCCATTGGCACAGCAGAGAGGGATGCAATGTGTTCAGAAAACTTTTATAAGGAAGTCTTTATGGCATTCTGAAAACATTTATTTTTTGGGGAGGGTCAATAGCAATAAAGAATTTAGCATGCAAAAAATACAGCATATTAATGAGGCCAAAACCTACCAAATACTACCGTCACAACTATTATTCTTAATAAATTAAATACGTGCCCATCGTATCTATTTGAAGTTTTTTTTTTTCAGTTTTAATATTTTTTCCTCTTTTTCTGTGTTTGCTAGCTTGCTACAAATCCTTGTTTACCACAGAAACTCGTGGTTTGCAGAGATAAAAAAAAGTCTCTCCATTCACTCAGTAAAATGAACACAAGAGGTTTGGGCTATGAAAGGGTAATGTTTCATTCACCTCTCTGATTTTCAAAGTATTAATGTGTATAAAATATCCTTTGCCAGAATACAATAGTTTTTTCTGATAAGTCTACATTTTTATGTGTATGCATTCTGTTGACCGCCAGCTGTATCACTGTGACAGGTACTATGACTGATGAAATGTTTCTACAGAAAAGGAAACACATTTTAAATAGGGTGTGTGGGTGTTAAGATAAGCATGTTCCAAGTGAAATATCACATTCACATTCTACCTCCAATTCCATATACAGTTTCATGTAGAAATACATAATTCATTAGTATTTCAGATTTGTACAGATATATAGTCACATTTATATAATGTAACTCTAGTGAACTCTTTATCCTTAAAACATTGTATTTTTTCTTAGAATTAATTATGTTGTACAACCTTCAATTGGTGTTTCCTGTGTTTATATTTTAATGTGTAAGTGATAAAACAAGGAAATGTTGAACTGCAGTTGTGACTTGGTTTATTGCAAAGTCAAATACTTTACTGGACTCGAATCAAGGTCAAACCATGTCTACCAATGCTCATATTATTGTGAACCTCAATACATATACATTTATTCTATCTATAGGTTCCCTCAAGAGCTAAAGAGTGGTCCCAAGTAGGATGAGCCCCAAAAAAGCTGCAAAAAGGTTATCCATAGCCTAAAGTTGGTCACATAAGAGCATGACCGGATTTGCCATAAGGCCACCAAGTGGCTCACAGGCACAACCAGTGGGGAGATCAAAGATATCCCTCGCCAGCCAGCCCATTCTCCTGCCATGGGCAGAGGTTGACAGAGGAGATCCTGATACAACCCCTCAGCAAGGATCCACCCACTACAGCTCCTATCTCTGAACTACAGCCACTATGGCTACTGTTCTCTTACTACAGTCCCTATCCTCCCACTATAGACACTATGCCGCCTTTTATAGCCACTATCCCCCCATTATAGCAACTTTCCCCCTCTATAGCCAGTATCCTCAACAATAAACATACACTTAAGCCCATATCCTTACCAACGCACACACTGCAGTCCATATCTACATAAAAACACACTCTACAGCCCCTATCCACATAAAACCGATATATACATGTTATACAGCAAACAGCCCCACAACACCACAACAGACTCCCTCCAACATGCAACTATACAAGTATCTTTACCTCCGCACCTGCAGCCACACAAGCAACATCTTCCCCACACAGGCAACCATACAAAGAGCTGCCCCAACATAAACAGTTCCACAAGTAGCATCCCAACACATGCACACAACCACAACCCCACAAGCAACCCCACAAGCAACTTCCCCAGAAACAAGCAACACCACAAGTAGCCTATCTACCACAAACGAAACACAACAAGCAACAACCTCCATAAGCAGTATCCCCACAGACATACAACATCACAAGCAGCTTCCCACCACAAAACACCAGAAGCAGCCTCCTCACACATACACACATCATTAAGGGTGGTTGGGGTGAGGGTTTTATTGTTATAAAGTAAAAAAGTTTGGGTTGACTGGTGAACTGGCCATGTGGCTCAGCCGTGTGGAGTAAAGGCCTTCTTTTGCCGAGGGAGGCCTAGAATAAGGTGGCTGTTTAAGTGCTTGGGCGGCTGATGTGCCCAAAAATATGTGGTAGCTCTGCGGCTAGGTCGATTGTTGGTTTGTTTATTATGACAAGCGGTAGCGCTGGGAAGGGGTGTACTGCTTGTAGTCGGTAGCTGACTCAGCGGTTCCATGTGGGGAGAGTAGCAAGGGTAGTTGGTGCTCATGGTCCCCTGAGCTGGGAAGGGAGGGGGAGGGAGGATGTAGTCGGACTGTGTGTCCTGTAAGGAGCAGTGCAAGAGCATCTGCAAATTATAGTAGTAGGATATCTTTGGTTAAACAGGCATAAATAACACTTTAAATAATAACTATACCAACATTAAAAATTAACTGCCAGTCCATCGACATATCTCTCCACATGAGGGGTAAGTTAAGCCCAAGTCCACTTGTGGTGTCTCGGCCTATATCGGCCTCGAAAGGGACTATATTGGGTATGTCCCAGGAATGTCCAGGGGTGGTGATGTTGGTCTTGTGTCAGTTTAGCCCCAGGCTGTGGAGGAAAGGGTTGGATTTAGCAGCAGCTGATGTGAGTCATGGGTGGTCTCGCCCTGGGTGGCCACGAGTGTGTGGGGAGGGTCCCATCTGTATTGGACACCTGCCTATTGGAGGATCTTGGTGACCTGGTTGACTGAGCATCTCCACTTCAATGTAGCCCTGCAGAGATCCTGTTGAAAGGTTAGTTGGGAGCCCTCAAACTGGAACGGGTACTTGTTCTTGATGGCATCCATCACTGCTTGTTTGTCGCGGAGGAACTGGAATGGAAGGAGGACGTCGTGGAGAGCGGCCGCCGGTGCCCTCCAGTTGCAGGATCTTCACCTGCTTGGGGTGCAGGATCTCCGACATGAGGCGCCGGATAAAGTGGGGTAGCTCCGTGTCATTGATGGATTTAGCTATGCCTCTGACTTTTATGTTAGTGCATCTCCTGGCATCTTCCATTGCATCCACTCTAGTCTTTAGGGCCTGGTGTGAGCCTTGGAGTTGCTTCATTCGCTCCATTGCGTCTGACAAGCTTTGTGCTATGGAGGAGATGTCCTCCTCTTTGGCCTTCACCCTGTCCGTTATGGCGGTAACCTCCTCGCAGAGCAACGCTATATGCGTGCGGAACCATGTGCGCAGGTGTTTCAGTAGGCCCAGGATGTCTCCTTTAGTTGCAGGAGCCCCCAGGTCTCCCAATTGCATGGTTGAGAATAGTTAATCCGCCTCAGGGATGGCGTCTGGGGAGTCCAGTGGGTCCTCTTCCGAGGATAAGCCTAGGGAGTCAGGCGTTGACGCCATTTTAGCTTTAGGCCGCGCCAGAAATATGTCTCCTATTATTCGTGTGCCGCCATCCGATGTGGCTTTTAGATTTTTTGCTCGTTTCCCCATAATGTGGTGCAGGGAGGTGCCGAGAAATTTACTGTGCACAGCTTATTTTATGGGTGATTGTTTCTTGACGATTTCAGCCCAGAGCTCAGCAGACATGCGACTGCTCTCCGTGATGGTCAGGCCATGCCCCCATCCATATTAACATTATGCCCACGATTCATAAACCCCAATTAATGTTAATGAAAAAGAGTGGCCAAAAAAAAAAACCCCCCACAGAAAACCAATTTCAAATTTCTCTAATTGATGGTTTTTAAAGTCTGTTTCATCGCTTCCTAAGTACTGTACATAAACTAGCTCTTTTATGTATCTTTGTCTAAATCCTTTGGCACACAGTAGATATGGCATCAAACAGGGTTGAAAATTGTTCATTACATTCATGTGGCGGAACTCAATGAGAAGAAGGAGTAAGTACCGAGACAGTATACAGTAGCATAGTGTTCGATTAAACATTTTACAAGTTTTACTGTATATGCTCTGGATGCATTTCTGCCTGAGGGTGAATATCACATTCAGTTGTTTCAGCAAAATATAATTTAAACTAAGCAGATGTTCACAGAAACCACCCTTGATGTGCTTTTAACCTATGGTCCCTACTGAGAAAATATAGTCAACAACTCAAAATTTTAACATTTTTAATGATCGTCAAAGAAGTGTTTCAAGTTTTCCTTTAATCTTTTACCACAAGGCAGTAAAAATATAATCCTGGGAAATTCTGGGAGGGTATGCATTTTACTTGAATGGTTCATTAAACATCTAATAGCAAAACCCTTTTAATGACAAGTAACCACCTTTAAAAACAAGATAATTAACAGTTTAAGTGTCAGAAGAAAGCAAATATTAACGGATACTAAATAAAATTATGTAATAGAACATGATTGTAAAGATATAAAGTGATTGGCTTCAGGGTTATATAGTAATGGCACATTAAAAAATTATTTTGTGTAGATTAGGATTAGCAGTTCTTACTGTCACGGCAAATTATCCCAGCAAATCTTTTTTTTATTTTTTTTTTTATTTTTTTATGTGAATAAGATTGTATTCCTTTTTTTATAAAATGGCATTACAGATATGAAAGGCAGGATTATGAGAATAACCTTGCGAGCATAAGCATAGAAATTAACATACAATAAGTGTCTAGACATTGAAGACTTACAGAGACCTGTAGAGTGGGCTACTGAGCAGATTCAGCTAGCAGTTTCAAAGGCAAAGAGTCAGAATTGATAGCCGTCAGTGACAGATAAAGCAGGGCAACCAATACCGTTATACTCATTGTTATAAGCATTATATACCGTGTTTCCCCGAAAATAAACCCTACCCCGAAAATAAGCCCTAGTCGGATTTTCGGGGTGGGCTGCAATATAAGCCCTACCCCGAAAATAAGACCTAGGCATTGCACCTTTGCGGCGAGACTTCCTTCTTCTACTGTAGGAGGAGCGTTGCGGGCCGCGGCATCGCGCAACGTGATGACGACATTTCGCAGCGCCGTCAGTCTGCCTTCACGGATCTTCAGCGGAAGGATCCATTTCCGGCGGTGAGGCACCCAGTGGTCGGACTCGGCAAGGAATCTTTGAAATGTGAGTACCGGTAGATATTTTATGTCTGGGACTGAATTAATTAAAGGGGGCGGGGGGTGAATTAATTAAAGGGGGGGTGAATTAATTAAAGGGGTGGTGAATTAATTAAAGGGGTGGTGAATTAATTAAAGGGTGGGCTGGATTAATTAGAGAGGGGTGAATTAATTAAAGGGTGGGCTGGATTAATTAGAGGGGGTGAATTTAAAGGGTGGGCTGGATTAATTAGAGGGGGGTGAATTAATTAAAGGGTGGGCTGGATTAATTAGAGGGGGGTGAATTAATTAAAGGGGTGGTGAATTAATTAAAGGGTGGGCTGGATTAATTAAAGGGGGGTGGATTAATTAAAGGGGGGTGGATTAATTAAAGGGGGTGGATTAATTAAAGGGTGGGCTGGATTAATTAAAGGGGGTGGATTAATTAGAGGGTGGTGGATTAATTAAAGGGGTGGATTAATTAAAGGGGGTGGATTAATTAGAGGGGGTGGATTTATTAAAGGGGGGGTGGATTAATTAGACAGTATGGTATTTTGATCCCCAGACAAGATGAGTGCAAAGAGAAAGAGCTGTACATACTGGTAACGTAAATAAATAAGCCCTACCCTGAAAATAAGCCCTAGTGTGTTTTTTGTGACTAAAATTAATATAAGACCCGGTCTTATTTTCGGAGAAACACGGTATGTACTGTGAGTAAAGACCGCCTGAGGCCGTTGTGGCGCCCCGTTATGACCCTCAATAGTGAGCCCACTGGAGATCAGTGGTGCTACCATACGCAAACTTACCATCGGATACTGAGATGGTGACTGCACTGAAAATGAGGTTACACAAAAACTAAAAGAGGGGCTTCTGAAACCTGCAGTGATCTAAACGTATGACGGGGTTCTCTCCCAGTCAGGAGGAGTAGGGGCATGCCTGCTCCTATTCCAAGAGGCATGGGAGGAATCCACCAAAAACAGATGGCTTCTGGATGTTATGCGAAAGGAACACCTTATAGAATTTGCAGAGAATCCTCCACAACGTTCCTTCTAGATCACAAAATGGCCAGGGGCTGGAGACAAGAGTCTAGCTATGAAAGAGTTTATTTTCTCCTTTCAAAAATAAGGCATCATATCATGAGTACCAAGGCCAGAAGAATTCCAAGGGTTTTACTCTCACCTCTTTCTAACCAAGAAATCTTCAGGAGGATGGCGTCCCATTCTGAATTTGTACAGACTGAATCTCCACTTGAAAATTCAAACGTTCACGATGGAATCAATTCAATCAATTATAAAAGTAGTATTTCAAGGCCAATGGTTGATGTCGATAGACTTATTAGATGCATACTTTCATATTCCCATTGCGCAAAATCATCAAAGATACCTGAGATTTGCCACAGAGAAAGGCCATTTCCAATTCTGGGCTCTTCCCTTTGGATTAAGTACAGCTCCAAGAACATTTATGAAGGTTCTGGTCATCCTGATTGCAGATCTGAGAAAACAGGGTATCACTCTATACCATTACTTAGACAACATCCTGATCGTGGCAGACAACAAAGAGACCTTACAAGCTCATGGCCAGATCTGTCTCCAATTCCTACGAAAACATGGATGGAAGATCAATTTCAAAAAGAGTCTCATCTATCTAATTTTCAGACCAGGGTTTACTTAGGAGCCCTCTTCCACACCACCACTGGGAAGGTCCAGCTTTCATAAGACAGGATTTCAAAGCTAATAGTGAAGGTAAAATAGATGTTGGAATCCAGAGTGACCTCAGCAAAGGAGGCCATGAGTCTCCAAGGCTCCATGTCATCCACCAAAGGTCTGACAAGGGGGCTCAGTGGAGAATGAGGAATTTTCAGGTCTATTTGATATGATAGAGTTCTAACCTCAACATATGAGGAAAGGGATTTAGGGGTGATTATTTCTGATGACTTAAAGGTAGGCAGACAATGTAATAGAGCAGCAGGAAATGCTAGCAGAATGCTTGGTTGTATAGGGAGAGGTATTAGCAGTAGAAAGAGGGAAGTGCTCATGCCATTATACAGAACACTGGTGAGACCTCACCTGGAGTATTGTACACAGTATTGGAGACCGTATCTTCAGAAGGATATTGATACCTTAGAGAGGGTTCAGAAGGGCTACTAAACTGGTTCATGGATTGCGGGATAAAACTTACCAGGAAAGGTTAAAGGATCTTAGCTTGGAGGAAAGACGAGACAGGGGGGATATGATAGAAACATTTAAATATATAAAGGGAATCAACACAGTAAGGAGGAGACTATATTTAAAAGAAGAAAAACTACCACAACAAGAGGACATAGTCTTAAATTAGAGGGACAAAGGTTTAAAAATAATATCAGGAAGTATTACTTTACTGAGAGGTAGTGGATGCATGGAATAGCCTTCCAGCTGAAGTGGTAGAGGTTAACACAGTAAAGGAGTTTAAGCATGCGTGGGATAGGCATAAGGCTATCCTAACTATAAGATAAGGCTAGGGACTAATGAAAGTTTTTAGAAAATTGGGCAGACTAGATGGGCCGAGTGGTTCTTATCTGCCGTCACATTCTATGTTTCTATGTTTCTATGTTTCTATTTCCTTCACCAGTTCTCATCAGGGAATCTCCAGCAAACAATCAAGATCCCTGCTTCTGTGCATCAGTCTCTCATCTGGTGGTTACACAAAGACTCCATATCCAACAGGTTTCCTCTGGGAGAAGTTGCATTGAAGGTAATAAGACAGATGGGGCCAGCCATTGGGGCTGGGGAGCCCATTTTTTTAAGATGAATTTCCCAAGGGAAATGGAGATTCACTGCAACTAATTCTCCTTCAAACCTTCTGGAACTTCTAGCAGTTCTAAAGACACAATGTGATACTAATATGTAAAGCGAGAGTGTAATGTTGCTCTAATTGCAACCCCTATTGTAACAGTTTAAACAGAGAGACAAAAGATAGGGGGGGAAAGCACAGATAATCCCTATAAGAGACAGAGCAACCCAGCAATAAATAAAACATAAGTTTTAATTAATGCAATTTTAAAAACAAGTACTGATTACAAAGAGGTCCATCATATATATATATATATATATATATATATATATATATATATTCGACATATAAACTGTAGCTATCAATACAAAGCTATCCACTAAGGTAAAATAACAAAAATGTCAAATCACTGTGCTGGAGTATCCAGTTTCAGTGTTAAATCAAATGCTGAATTCCATCAATAACCTCCTAAAGAGTGTGTATACAAATAAAAGAGACA